CAGTTTGTGCAGTCTAGATCGTCGGAGTTCTATCGCAAAGGCATTAACACTTAAGGACTCGCTAATGGGTCCATCAGACCCAGTACGTCAAATTTTGCTCGATTGCTTTTTAAATAAAAAATTTGCGACGTTGCCGTTCTTAGTACCTTCCAAGGCCAATATGGCGCGGCAGGCGGCGGCCGTTAGTGTCAGTTAGCGCGGTTTGCTTGAGTGCTGCAGACGTTTAAGGTGAGTATGGGTCCGTTAGACCCCGTAGCGACTAAAAACGTAAGTGTGTTTTTAATTATTTCATAACTATTAATATCTGTTTTTACTATAGGAAATGGCTACTTACAAATCAATGAGCCACAAAGAAATAGAAGAATATATTAATGAAGAAATAGAGAATGAAGACTGCTCTGAAAATGAAGACTTTTTAGAAATAAATGACCATCAGACAGACTCAGAAGAAAGTGGCGACGAACATGTGCCTTGTGAGGAAAGTTCTTCACGAATATCACCAATTAAATATACACATGAGAGGCAAGGCATTCGTCGACCTGCACCAGATCTCCGGCGACCTGATTTAGATTGCGTTCCTTTGTCAATTTTACAGAAAGGGTTCTATATCGGAAAAGATAAAACCACCAAATGGAGTATTGATCAACCTGTGCAAAATACAAGAACTCGGAGTCATAACATTATAACAGAAGTTCCAGGACCTCGTCATGAGGCATCCAACATAACCACTCCATTGCAAGCATTTTGTTTATTCTTTTGTAATGAAATTTTGACTAAAATAGTAGAATGCACAAATATTTACATGACTGAGAAAATTTTAGCAAACTTTGAAAGAGAAAGAGACTGCAAACCTACATGTCTTAATGAAATTAAAGCCTTGTTCGGGCTTCTCTTCTACATTGGAAAATTGAGAGGAGCACATTTGAATTCTAAGGACTTGTGGGCCACAGACGGCACTGGATGTGATATCTGCATATCAACTATGTCACGACGAAGATTTCATCATCTCCTCAGATGCCTACGTTTTGATGATATAAGGACAAGAGAAGCACGTAAAGTAAATGATAAATTGGCACCAATACGAGAGATTTTCCAGCTATTCGTATGTAACATTCAAAGACATTACGTACATGGAGAGCATGTAACTATAGATGAAATGCTTTTAGCGTTCCGTGGCCGATGCCCATTCCGTCAATATCTCCCCAGTAAGCCAGCCAAGTACGGACTCAAAATGTTCGCTGTTTGCGACGCAAAGACGTACTATACTTCAAATTTGGAAATATACGCAGGAAAACAGAAGGATGGGCCGTATCAGCTCAGTAATTCTCCTGGCGACGTAGTCAAAAGGCTAGTAGATCCTATAAAAGGTAGTAACCGTAATATAGTAATGGACAATTGGTTCATGAGCGTTACATTGATGTCAGATCTGCTAGACGACTTTAGCCTAACTTGTTTAGGGACGCTGAGGAAGAACAAAAAAGAGATACCTCAAGAGTTTACACAGACTAGAGGAAGAGAGGCACACGAAACTTACTTTGGTTTCCAAAATAAATCCACACTTGTGTCTTACGTACCTAAAAGTGGAAAAGTCGTTCTAGTAGCATCCACAATGCATCATGATATTAAAATTGATGAACAAACTGGCGAGAAAAACAAGCCAGAAATGATAACTGATTATAACGCTACAAAATGTGGAGTGGATATTGTCGACCAAATGACAGCCACATATTCCGTTTCGAGACGTACCAAGCGATGGCCATTGTGTATATTTTTTGGTGTTTTAAATATTGGCGCATTAAATGCCTATATTATTTACAAGACCGTGGCAGCTGCCGATAACTTAGCACGAAGAGATTTTATCAAAATGTTGGCAATTTCTATGGTACAACCTCTTCTTCATGAAAGAATACTTATAACAAATAGGGTCAATGCGTCAGTAGGCGACCATTAGCTACTTTGCGACCATTTTAGGGACATAATGCAGAAATGCCGAAATAATAAGCAGGTTGACTCACTCTTTCATATGAGGTTCTGTTTTATGAAAAGAGGGATAGTAAGTTGCTTTCGGTCTATCAAAATTTGCAGGATCATATTGTTCATGTAGTGACAAGCTTTCGTTCAGTTAGTCGAATTCGACACGCGCGTACGCACGTGTACCAAATTACGAAAAAAATAGTAGCCTCGTCGTGTTTCTAAAGTGAGTATATACCTCTTTTTAAGGACTTTTACTGCTATGAGTGTTTTGTTGTTTCAAGAGTAAAGTGAATTACCGCACGTTGAATTATTTTGAGTATATTATAAATAAATACCTAAAATACTGGATGGTCGCATACTAATACATGCAACTGCGGGTTATAATTGAACAATGCATTTAAATATATAATATATTCACTTGTTTGTCCTTGAACTTGAACAAAATCTAAGTAGTACAAAAAAATTAGATCAAGTTTCATTGTAAACTATGACAGGCATAATCACCATAAAAATAAAATTACAGTTCCATTTTTGACAGAATCAGAAAAAATAACAATATTCTATGTAATTATAAACTATATGAAGTTATTTTCTTTAGTGCAAGTGACGCAATAGTCAACCTTATGTTTACCGCAAATTTCTACCTCGTATTGAGCGTAAATACTTTCTGTCATACGTTTTTTTTGTAATGACAAACATAAATTTGCCCTGATGTAGCATTCACATTTTGTCTCTGAAGTTTAGTTAAATATAGTATACCTATTCCGAAAACTTTTACTAAAATATAGTACGTACACGAACCTTACATGCAATTTTAATACTTTTATCTGGCTGGCTCTCTGTGAGAACTGAGCGAGCCTACGTCTAATTATTTAGTTTTTGTTTTACCTTTTCACAAATAGAAGCATTGGTTTTACAATTGTTTTGCAACTTTTATTAATTGACTAATAAAATACTAATTATTTACTTCATAGCGCGCTCACTCAATGCACAAAGACACAAAAATCGTAGGAATTTACCTAAGTGATAGATAAAACATGTTATTTATTACATTCCTTGTTTGCAGGAACTCAGATGGCTCGAGTAGTGACAGTGACGGGGAAGTTATTCCTGATGGCCCCGTCGAGGAATGGGGACTGTCTCGTGGTGATGCACCTCCAGCCCCAACTTTTACCGGACAGGCGGAGGTCCGTATAGCAGACGACGTAACAAAACCAATAGATTTTTTTAAAGTTTTCTTTGAAGAAAACTTACTAAAAGAAATAGTGGATGCGACCAATGAGTGCGCATATGAAGCACTGAATCAGTGCAATACCAGGCATGGTAGAATTCGCAGGTGGAAAACTCTTAACTATAGAAAAATTTTTAACATTTTTAGGCATTTTATTCCATATGGGAAATATAAAAGTCAATAGATACTCCGATTACTGGAAACAACATTATTTATATAATTTATTTGCTCCTAAATTTATGTCCCGAAACACATTTTTGTTGATTTTTAGGTGTCTCCGATTTGGAAAGTACAATTTGGACAGTCTAATTAATTATTTTAATAATATAATGTTAAAAATATACAATCCAGGCGAGGAGTTGTCGATTGACGAATCCATGATATTGTCCAGGGGACGTAGTGGAATTCGCCAATATATTAAGGGAAAACGTCATAAGTATGGCATTAAATTATATATGTTAGCCACACCTAATGGCCTTTCCCTTCAAATTCATATGTACAAAGGTAAACAGGACCAAGAAGTTGGAGGGAAAGGTCACACAGATAAGGTAGTGGCTAAATTGCTTAGACCTTATTTGAATAAGGGACACCATGTGTACATGGACAATTTTTATAATAGTGTAGGCCTCTCAGAGTTCCTGTTGAGAAATGCAACAAACGTCACGGGAACTCTGAGGGCTAAGCGAATGTTAAACCCAGCAGTAGTTTGCACTACTAAATTACGCAAAGGTGGCAGTATCTACAGATACAACCGCAAAGGTGTTTGTGTTTGCAAGTGGAAGGATCAAAGGGATGTCCTGACTATCAGCACCAAACATTCACCGGAACTTCAACCCATAATAAATAAACGGGGTCATCAAATATTAAAGCCAGCAATGGTGAGTCATTATAATAGATATATGAGTGGTGTTGATAGGCAGGACCAAATGATGTCCTACTACACCTGTGAACATAAAAGTATGCGGTGGTACAAGAAAGTAGGCATTCACATATTTCAAATGATGATGTTGAATGCCTACTACTTGTACCAAATCAAAATTAAACAAATAAATCTTCATGATTTTCGTCATGAAATACTGACATCATTACTGCCACCTTCGACAAATGGAAATGAGCAGGTAAATAATAGTAATAACATAGTCCATTTACCTGCTCATTTACCAAAGGATGAAAAGGGCAATACAAAAAGAAAAAGGTGCAAACACTGCTGGGATACCACTCAGTATCGAAGAAATACATTATGTTTCTGCCCAGAATGCCCAAAGCAACCAGGGTTATGTTTGGAATGTTTTAGGGTGTTCCATAAATATTAACGGTTCTTTTTTTTTCTTTTTTTTAATAATACAAAGTGACAAGAGACAAGAGACGCCACCCTGAAACAAGTTGACAAGTCTCATGTGCCTGTAATTTCACCAGCATCCTTACCCTTCGAAACCGGAACACAGTAATGTGACCATTACTGTTTGGCGCACAGTGGGTCGAAACTGCTATAAGAGGGACTTAGCGATCATTTTTACAAATTCTACTTTTTTAAAATACCTGTCGATTGTATACGTTATTCTGATGAATAAATGTCATATAACATTTTTCTCTAAAACTGATAGTTTGGCTAGAAAAAAATATTTTCCATTTTCGTTGTATGGAATGAAACATAAACTGTTGAATTCTGACCAACTCTTGATAGATCTTGCTTTATGACCACTTGAGCATTATTCTATAGCTTGTTGAGTATAATCCTACACTATCAGCGCCCCCCCAAAGTTGCCCGTTCAGGAGTTACGAGATTCCAAAAAAGTAAGAAAAAATGTTTTTTTAATGACTAATATCTTTGAATTATACTACCAATATTATTGTAACACATGAAAATTATACGGTAAATATTGTTTGTAACCTAAAATACTACTTTATAGAAATCGTTTTTAAAAGTTGAGGTCTTAAAAAAAGTTTTACGACATAAAGTACCAAAATTCTATTAATCAAATTATTAAAAAAAATATAAAAATTCATTTTACAACATTCTGTATCTTATGATTCGTAGAACTATGCCGTAAAACTGAGAAAGTTAATTTTTAGCTTGAATTATTGTACTCAACAAGCTATAGAATAATGCTCAAGTGGTGATAAAGCAAGATCTATGAAGAGTTGGTCAGAATTCAACAGATTATGTTTCATTCCATACAACGAAAATGGAAAATATTTTTTTCTAGCCAAACTATCAGTTTTAGAGAAAAATGTTATATGACATTTGTTCATCAGAATAACGTATACAATCGACAGGTATTTTAAAAAAGTAGACTTTGTAAAAATAATCGCTAAGTCCTTCTCATAGCAGTTTCGACCCACTGTGTGGCGGCAGAAATAGGTAAGGTGGCAGTACTTCCCTGGACGAGCTCTTTCACAAGGAGCTGTACTGCTATTAAAGGTCTTAAACATTCTAAACATAGCTCTAGGTGAAATATCACAATTAATTAAAATAGTAGTTTATACATACAAAAATGTAGATAAAAAATCTATCACATGTGTGTAGATAAAAAATCTATTGAGTTCTTGTATTCGCGATTGTTACACATTACATTGTACTCTTTGATATATATATGTACAGACTCTTTTTTATTTTCTTGGATGTATTAATTTAAAATTTATTGTTATTGTTTAGATAATTTTTGGCAAATGTTGTGTATACCTGTAAGCATATTTACATCGATACCATTGTTTGTTACGTGTTGTAATGTGAATTGTTGTATATGTTTTGCTGTTGGTGTACCTCTTTATAAAATAAATAAATTAAATAAATGAAACTCGTTCCGTGTTTTCTTATTGACATTTTTTGTGTTTAACATCGCGTATATATTGTTTTTTTGTTACAAACGAGTCTCATGTTGATCTGGTAGCGAAAGAAAAACATGTATTAGTTGCTCAGGAAAATAATTATTTAGCATTAACAATGCTAATATATAGTAATATAATAGTGTAAGTTGCACTTAAATGTCAAAATAATCAAAATAATTAGGTAATTATTTAAAGTAAATGTGAAATGTCATGGTCTTCCTTCTGGGTTCGTTTCACGGTTCAAAAAGGCGATTATTTATAAATTTTTGAATGCAGTTCTTAGAATATTTTTTCGTTTTGGCTGAATATGCTAATTCCCGATGCGTCTAATAAAATATGTAAAAAGTTGTACGAAAAAGTTTCACTTCACTCATTCGTTTACTCTTTTTCAAGTACTTAAAAAGTTTGTGAAAAAAAAAATTCGAAAATGATGTAAGTATTTCATTTACTGTGTATTTTATATACTTAGCACAATCTGTATAACCTTTTAACTTATTATATATTTGTAATAATGTATTTTCCATTTATTTTTGAAACATTTGTCCTTTCAGTGCGATCCTTAGAACTCAGTTGGGGAAGTGGTGGCATGGTGGTAGAAGGTAAGAATTCAGCACTTTGATAATCATTAGAATGTAAATATTAAAATGTAAGAATTCATCACTTTGATAATCATTAGATTCACATAAAATTTCGATTTCAATACTTTTTTAGGTTAGGTTTGGGGGAATCCCACGTATTTTTCTATACAAGAGAACTATTTCATGATACAACTTAATCTGTCACTAAAGTGGCTTTAGCAAATGTTTAGGTTAAGATTTTTAATGCATAAAATTGCCGCCAACCAATAAAATTTCGCTGTTAAAATCGTTCAAAGCTAGTAAGTAGTTCATTGTTAATTTGAATGAGACGAATTCACATTGATCGACATTTCTTACCACACCGATTGATGGTCGATTTATGACATCAAACGAAGATTGAATGAGATCTGCTCCATTTGCATTGCCTCAGCTGTATAAATTTTAAGGGTCAAGGTCACATCGAAAGAGCAGCGGCCGAAGGAGCATTTTCGGTGCAAAACATTACCTACCGAGTATCCATCCATTGGTGTGGATATCCTTAGTTTTTTAACCTACATGAATTAAGGATGATATGTCTTGATTTTATCATATTAGTGTGTATAAAAAAGTGTAATTTAAAAAAAATGGTTTTAGTAACACCAGTGCCAGTTTGCCGCCACCGCCGCCTGACCCGCTCACAACAAAAGAGCCGCCGCCGTTCCGCTTGCAGCGCTCTCAGCCGATCGCCATACCAATATCGGCTGAGGAGGCAGAGCAGCGCTGCAAGCAGCGAGAATGGCGGCTTGCCCGTGAAAACCGATATTGGGGCCGTGTTGCGATAGAATACTAGAACTATCGTAACACGGTCCCACATAAAATAAATGAACTTTTTTAAAAATAAACGCGTTTTTCATTTGATGGCGATGTATGTACGACGTATTCTAATACTATCATAATACAACACAACTCTGTCGGTTTATACTAAATTAAACGTATATCAGCCGTCACATTTGACACACAGTACCTTTAATTTAATCGCGTTCTGTTTAGCTCTCAGAATCTTTATTTTTAGGTTGTCTAACGTGGAAAAATTTTGTTATGTTCTTAGAACATATAACTTTTTAAATATTTAACCTATGTCGTTTAAGAGTTTATTAGTATTTGAAATAGATATGTAGTTTGAAACATTGTCGGCTAGATGAACATTTTTAATATATATATATATATACAGGGTTATTTTTAAATGACTAATAACCTCGCAGGACTACATTACTAACATCATATCCTACAACTTTTGTTCCATGACTTTTAATAATTCGTCAGATTTTACTTTCATACAAAAATAAAAATATTTAATCGTCTGCTCTAAACGGTTATTAACACTATGCGGTAAGAAAAGAACACGCTAATGTAAACAAATCATCCGATGCGAAATGCACGAAAGGGGATGGGGGAGGGAGGGAACGTACCTACGGGCGGCGGCGGCGGGGCGTCGGCGGCGGTCAGTCACTTTGATGCATTCGCGTCGTAAATGCACATGTTATTTATTGTTTTGTAACTGTAATTGTTAGCACGATGACGTATCGCTATTCAAGTGTAGAGTATACGGAAATGGTGCGGTTACTCGCTATATGTGGTGACAATGTGTCGGAAGCCTGCCGCGAATATGGAAGACGATTTCCTACTGTACCTACACCAAGCCAAGTTACAATGTTAGCTGCCACACAGCGATTAAGAGATCACGGACAATTTTACCCTAGTTCCAGCGACCGTGGTCGTCCACCGAGGCGTACAGTGCGTGAGCAGGAAGACATACTGGAGTTTTTTGAAGCCAATCCAGCGGCAAGCACCAACGACGCAGCCCGAGAGTTCAATGTCTCTCAGTACTTCGCCTGGAGTGTCATCCACAATGAAGGAAAATATCCTTTTCATCTTCACCGTGTCCAGGAACTCACCGAACCCGACAAACCTGCGCGAGTGACTTTTTGCAATTGGTTGCTGGCTGAACGGCCTACAATTCTATGGACAGACGAGGCTACATTTGGCAGAGTAGGACTATTCAATAGTCGTGACGAGCATTTGTGGTGTTATGAAAACCCGCACGAACCCAGACCACATAATTTTCAACATCGCTTTAGCGTGAATGTGTGGGCGGGAATTGTGAATTCCACGTTACTGGGCCCCATATTTCTTGACAGATTAAACGGAGAAACATATCATCATTTTCTCACTGAATCGCTACCAGTGTTGTTAGAGGATGTACCACTCGCCCATTTACGTAACATGTACTATCAGCATGATGGGGCACCGGCGCACTATGCTCGCCAAGTCAGAGAGGTGTTGAATAGAAATTATCCAGGTCGATGGATAGGACGTGGCGGACCTCGTGCTTGGCCTCCTAGATCGCCAGACATCACTCCGTTGGACTTTTATTTGTGGGGTCATGTAAAGACGTTGGTGTACACTGGCCGCGCAATCACAAGCCGCGATATGTTGAAAGATAAAATAATTTGGTCATTTAACCAAATTCGATTGAATTCGGACGTGTTATCACGAGTCAGTGAACAATTGATTTTTAGGTGTGGTCTTTGTGTTGGTTGTGAAGGTGACTATTTTGAACGCTATGTGCGCGATACTCACCGCCATCCGCGGGACTTAAATCTACGTGGTAGGTACGAATAATTTGTAAAAACTTTTTAATTTTGTAAATATGCGGATTATTGTAGATTAACTAATCAATTACTGTAAATATGCTGATTCCACTTTTTAAATACGCCTGCATTAAAAAATAATATAAGAAAAATACATGCGAAAATCTAGAAATTTTTATTTATTATTTATAAATCGTATAAAAAACGACAGACAGTTTAAGCCTCTGTCGTTTTTTATACGATTTTCTGTTTGACATACATACGGTTGAAACTTATTTTATGTTTTAATGCAGCCAGTCCTAAGCCTGGTTATAGTATGAAGGGATTGTGGATTCAGTGTATTGTCAACAGCACATCATGTTACATATTTGTGTTCGAATATCGTAGTATATCGGAACTAGCTCCGCCAATATTTAGCTCGATGTGCTGCCATTCGTACAAACCCAGCAAGCGAGTTAAACGTGGAAACAAGCTATTAATGAACTTCTAGGTATTAATCACAAGAATTGTGCTAGTTATTCGACGTAAAAGATGTAGGTCATTTCGTAATAATAATTGTTAAATAAATTGCATTATTTGTAGGTATTATTTAGCCCTTGCGTAAAAAGCGCGGGAATTCCTACCGACAGACAGCACGCGGCCGGGAGGCGTTGCTATACATATGTTTAATTACTACTTATTACCAAAAATACAGATCTAAAAACTGTCAGACAGCATAGAAAAAATTTAAAAGTTTGTTTTCGGTAAATTTATTGCGTTTTGTAAAAAGTCGTAGAACAAAAGTTGCTCGTTATAATGTTAGTAATGTAGTCCTGAGAGGTTATTAGTCATTTAAAAATAACCCTGTATATATATATATATAGACATTTTCAAAAAGTGCATTTATGATCACTATTGGTGACCAGGTAATGCCTCATAAAATACCTACATTTACTTTATTACAGTTCATTACAGTTACTTTATTTAATACCTAAACTGACAGAGTATAACCCACTACTACTACTATAGATTACTATTAAATTGGCACAACCCTTACATAATATTACAAACAGGACTCGTGTGCCGGGTCTTTGGGCGTAGGCGCAGGAAATGTACAAATAGATAGAACAGGACTCGGTAGGCGAGTCGTGGGCATGGTAGCGACAATAGCGAGGACTCGGGTGCTAGGTGCTGGGCATTAAATGTGTTAAAAGTAAAAAATAATCTCCAGTTTCATTTGTTAGCTATTGGCAC